AAAATAAATAATTTACCTTTTCAAAATTTTTTAATTTTTAAAAACCTCACAAAAAGAAATAAAATCATGCTGAAGTTATAATTAAGTCACACAAAAATATAAATTTAACACAACTAGTTAAAATTTTGAAAATTTCTGACAACTAAAACCATCTTTCCAAATTGTATATGAAATCACAAAAATCACTTTTGCACTAAACTTTTGAATGGTCAAGTGCAAAATGCAGTAATAAGAGCACCATAATTAAAGCAAGCTCGAAAGTTTGAATTTCCTCATTCAATTACGACATTCACTTCACCATGTTCATTTTCACACAAATCATTTCACAAAATTCAATGACTCAAAAGAAAGGTTGTTTTTCACACATGATCAATCGAAAATAATTCTTTTGAAGATCAAAATATGTAAACTTCAAGATTAAATCTCAAATCTTAATAAAGACTTCCATTACACTCACAGAAGACATCACAAAACAAATCTCAATTTCCGATTGGACTCTCGAAAACTAAGACTCACACATTAGCCATGATTAAACCAAGATTTCCCTAGATTTAGTCAAGGACTCATCAAATTCGAATATCTTACGAAACTTGAGACTTTTGACATTCAAAAAGCTTCATCGTTGAATCTTAATACAATTCAAAAAACTTAATTTCAAAGTTAGTAAAATTCAACCCAGAAATACTTTTAAAACCATTAATTGCTTGATACCAAAACCGATACCAAACTTATAACTTGAAAAACTCATTCTTCATAACTGAGAAAGGAAGTTTTAAACACCAAAATATGAATCATGGAAGTTTCATTGATTGATCCACAAATTTGACTCCATCTTATAGTTACATAGTAAGAGACACGAAAAACTATAAGAGCTAGATTTTGAAAACTTGTTACCAAAAATTGATATCAAAACTAATTTCATAAACCAGAACACCAAAACCCCGAACCCTTTGGGTGTGTTCTTTTTGCAGTAATGGGAATGGAGGTAATGGGAATTTGATTCCATTTTATGTAATTACTGCATTTCGTAAAATGTAACAGGTAAGGAATTAACTTTCTGGTGTAATCAGATAACCTACCCCCAGTAATCCTAATCTCATTCAATTACTTTAGTTATCTATTCAATCTCAAATATGAAAAAACAAATCAAAAGGGCGCTTTATTTTTAGCGCGTCCAAATTTTGTGCGGGGGAAATTTGGTTCTCTTTAAATACAGCTTCTCCCCACCTAATTCATCAACTCACTTTTCTTGTTCTCACAAAATTTTAGAACAAAAATAAAAACTAGAAGGTATATTTTGCCATCTATGATTTCCATTTCTTTTTTTTTTTTTTTTCTAACACCCGAAGGGTGAAAAGTTGGAAGAAGAAAACCATGTTCAATAATTATTTGTCAAGCAATTTGTTTGCTTTTTTAGCTCTTTTATCGTCTTCCAATTTGTTTTTTCCAATTGCGTTAATTTTCTCTTTTGATTAGTTTATAATTCTAAATTAGATTGGAGCTTAGAGCCTATTTCTGCCTCAAATTATCTGTGTACATACGTATGGTTCAAAACGGAAAAGAATTTTGGCTTTCCACTGTAAAATGCATCTAGCTGTTCATCGAGTGAAAATTAGTCCTTTTGTCTAGATTCCGTAGCGTATCAATTAATCTATTTTATTTTATGATTTAATTTTTACTTTTTTCTCTATTTTTTTATTTCTATTGTATTTTTTATTATATTGGCCCAGCCGATAGGGACAGAAGAGCTGCTCGAAGTGCCCTTTGTTTTCGACCCTCAATTTGTTTGATCTTTGATATCATCACCGCAATAAGGTACTAGTATTCTTTATACTTTTGTCGTTTTGTTATAAATTATGATGAGCCCATATTCTTGAAAACTTTATTTTAATTTGATTGAGTTTTTTATGTAGTCTTCTTTAAATATAGGATTAGTCATGGTTTATTTCTTAGTGTTGAATTGCTTATGGGTAGTTTCTCGTTGTTTTCCATTGTACTACATGATTACATTATTAAAATAGAATAAGGTTGTTAGAGAAGCCTACTTCAATCACTTCTAATGCATTCGGGTTTTTTTTTTTTTTTTGATAAGCAATACATTCGTCATTAAAATGGAAGCTTGTTTAATGTATTGTATTTCTCCTTTTTTCTTCCACCATTCAACTCCATTCTCGGCCTTGGATCAAATGTCTTCCCCCCCCCCCCTGAAAATAGCATGTAATTATCAAAATGATGTAATTGGAATGAACGTTGAGTTTTGTTCTTTGATTCTTTGTAATATAACTTCACTATTTTTAATCCTTGATTCACTATCTTGGATTTTTAATCCATGTTCCAATCTGTACCGTATTGGCATAGTTATTGTTCACACGTTCTCCCAAGTTTGTGTATGCCTATGATTTATTGAACACTTGATTGTATAAAGTAAAAGTAATTCTTATGGGAGAATTGATTGAGCACTTGACTATACTATATTGTTACCAGAGGAACGACCACTGAGGCAGAAGAGAAAGATCCCATCTCAGAACGTCCCTTTTGTTTGCAACCCCCAGTTTTTTCCCTTGGATAATTTCATCACCACTGTAAGGTAAAAAATTATCTTCTTTCTATTATAATATCTAGTCATAACATTTTTTTAACCACACCTTTTCTTGTTTTCTATCTCTCTGTCTCTTTTTTGGTATAGAGCTGATTACAATCAATTTTTTTTTCTTTTACTTGAGTTCTTGAATAAAATGTTCAATCTTGTATCATTGTATTCTTAGATTCTTTACCATGTGTTACGATGTTTGACTAGATTTCCATGGTAATATTTTTCGGTTGTTTTCCTGGAGCAACTTTTGCAAATGATTAATGCATTATTTTCTTGTATAGATTTTGGTCATTTTTCTGTGTGAACAATTAAACAAATGGAGAGCAATAGTAGATATATATGTTGGCATTGACTGATCCATGATAGTTGAAACTTAATTAGTGGTATTAATAAACAGTTCAAACTGATTTTCTGTTGTAATTTTTGCATATATTTTTATACAACTCACCAGCTTATACGCTTCATTATAATAGTTCTACCGGAGACTTGATAAAATTTTAGATTACAATATGCAATGCTATTCTATATGCAGATATGGCTCGCATGTCTTTCAGTAGGAAGAAAAAGATTGCTACAATCATGATGATCTATACCGATATATTGAACGAGTTGTTGTTAGCTTTCATGTTTATGACATTAACTATCATTAGAAAGGGCTATAGAGAACCCAAATTTAGAGTAACATCTTTTTATAGAACTTTGATCCGACAAATTAAGATTAGTAACATGTTAATAAATGACAGCGTATGCATTGAATAGAAATTGTCTTGTTTACTAAGCACTGTTGGTAATCTTCGTCGAGGTAAACATTTAAACATGGAGGAAATGGTTGCATTATTCTTGCATACATTAGCCCATCATGCTAAAAATTATATAATAAATTAGAATTTCGTCATTCTGGGTCAACAGTCAGTAGATACTTTAATAGGGTCCTAAATGTTGTCCTACGATTACATACAGTTTTATTAAAAATACCTAAACCAGTCCCTAAAAACTCCACCGATGAGCGATGGAAATCGTTTAAGGTAATTAATGTTCTTTCATTTATTTTAATGATATTATTATTTCACACCAGATGATATCCTTATACATGTTTTGTTGTTGTGTTTTAGAATTGTTTAGGAGCATTAGATGGAACTCACATCAAACTAAATGTTCCTGAAGCTGATAAGCCTAGATATAGATCTAGAAAACATGAAATTGCCATGAAATTGCCATTAATGACGATAAATTTGTGCTTCAGTCTGCGGATTAGTGATATATTCGAGTTCATAATTTTATTTTGTTCCATGATATGCCTGATAATAGAATTATGCCATTATAGGATTGTTAATCTTTTTGGCAGTTGTTTTGGTCTAGTTACTGGTGCAGTGACTAGTACCGTGAGTACGTCATTAGGATGGTTCAAGTACGTCATTTTGGACGGTCTGTTCTTGTATCAAACGGTGTTGGACCTTTTCCAGTAATCTTAATAGAGTATGTTTTCCTTCAAAAAAAAACATGAAATTGCAACAAATGTCTTGGGAGTTTGCTTACAAGACATGCAATTTATTTACATATTGCCTGGCTGGGAAGGATCTGCAGCTGATTCAAGAGTATTTCAAGATACCTTAAATAGAAGATATGCCTTAAAAGAACCCCTAGGTAAATCTTAATCTAAAATCTTCAAACCATTGATAGATTTTTAAATTGTCTTATGCACTAAATTCTAATGGCACCATTATTATTTAGGTTATTATTACCTTGTTGATGCTGGTTATACCAATGGCCAAGGCTTTCTAGCTCCTTATAGAGGACAACGTTACCATTTAACAGAGTGGAGAGAGGGGCATCAACCAACAACATCTGAGGAGTTTTTTAATATGAAACATTCTGCTGCCAGAAATGTAATTGAAAGGTGTTTTAGCTTGCTTAAAAAACGGTGGGCAATTTTGAGAAGCCATTCTTTTTATCCAGTTAAAACTCAATGTAGAATCATATCTTCTTGTGCTCTACTTCATAACCATATTAGAAAAGAAATGGCTATAGATCCATTGGAGGACAGATTAGAAGAACAAGTAAAAGACATTGACATGGATGGTGATTTAATTACCACAATAGAACCATCGAATGAATGGACAACATGGAGGAAAAACTTAGCTATAGAGATGTTCAACCAATGGAAGGATCGTCATAACGAATAAAATCTATAATTATTTTTTCATTTTTTGTAGTCCCATTATTGTTTTGGTTAATATTTGTCATATGGGTGAACAATTTTTGAATATTGTAATATTTTTTTTAAAAGAAATCGTATTGATTTGATTTTTTAATCTTTTTGTTTTTAGCACTATTATAATGTTGCTTGCCTATCGTCATTATATTATTTATGTTTTCTGGATTGATTTGTTAATATATAAGGTAACTCATGGAAACTCAAGTTGCGGAACACGTTAGAGGAAGAGGTATGAATAAGCGACAATGGACCGTTGTAGAAGACAGCAAACTAGTTGAAGTTTTACTTGACTTGGCAGGAAATGGCCAATGGAAATGTGATAATGGAACTTTTAAAGATGGATTTCTAACACAAATAGAGAAGCTCTTGGAAGACAAGATGCCTAGAGGTGGTCTTAAAGCTAAACCTCATATAGAATCTCGTGTAAGAAGTTTGAAAAAACAAACTGCAGCAACAACAGAAATGTTGGGCCTAATGCAAGTGGGTTTGGATGGAATGACCTAGAGAAATGTGTGTTTGCTGAAAAGAGTATTTTTGAAGGATGGGTCAAGGTAATTTTTCTGGGAACTTTAGCTATTTTAATGTTATTTTTTTTTGTATTCCTAATTAGTTTATATTTTTTTAATACTTTTCTCTAGCCCATCCGAATGCAAGAGGATTAAGAAACAAACCATTCCCTCACTATGAAAGCCTATCTCTTATTTTCGGCAAGGATCGTTCTAATGGTGAAGGAGCTGAAAATGCAGCTGATACTGTTGATGAACAAAAGCCTGAATGGTGGAGATGGACTCGAAGAAAAGGAATTTACACCAACAGACACCAACATTACTACCTGTAACACTTTAAAATCTGGTCCTGCAGTTTTTAGGAAGAGAGTTCGAGGTGATAATTTGGCTATCAAATTGACTGGTGTGACCAAACAGTTGAAAGCAATATTTGGCGATGCAAATGACCACATTGCGAAGCTTGCAAATTGTTTTTAGTTTAAGGCTGATTGTGCTCAGAGAAGAATGAAAGTTTTTGAAGAAATTCAAAAGATACCTGATTTGGATGACTTAGATCAGCTAAAAGTTGGAGAAATTATCATAGTTGATCCTAACAAAATTGATTTGTTCTTTTCTGTTCCTGAGGCGTTGAAGAAGAAATGGGTGATGAAACTTCTCCATGATGCATAATCATTTCTTGCGATAGGTGAGTAAAACCTTTTTCTTTTGGTTTTAGCATTGAAATTTATATGAGAGGTTTACATTGTTTATTATATCGTGGGTGTAGTTATGAGCAATGAATATAATACATGTTTACTTATTGATGATGTTTGCTTTTTTGTAAATAGGTTCAATCTCCAGGACTCCGTTGCAACTATTGCCGACCAAGTCAAGACTCAAGACATTTTTTTCATTTTTATTTTTCATTTTACAAATGCTTAGCTCAATAATAAATGGGGTCTAGAACTTTTATTGAACCATATTTTATTTAATTTGTTGAGGATTATGTGATATGATTTTTTAGTATTTATTTTAAATAGAGACGTTGATATGGTAATGCAAATTATTTCATTAATTATAATTTTGCAAAACTTACTCTTTTTTTTCTTATAGTTTATTTAAAATTTTAATTTTTATTCCGATACCTATGTAAAAAAGAAATGTATAAATCGTTAAGTAATACCTATTCCAATGCATATTTGGAACATGTCAGACGTAATGAAAGATTCCTTTAACGAATATAAGTTTTTCCATCAGAAATGAGATTCCGTTTTCCTGATTCCCTTTCCGAACAAAAGAACGCAACCTTAAGAATCTATAAAATCTATCAAAATTAAAACTAATTTTCAAAGAATCTATTAAAAATAAACTAATTTTCAAAAATTCATTTTGAAAACGAAAGACAAAAAGCAGGATCGCAACTTAAGAATCTATGGAATCTTCATTAATTGAAAATCCGTAATCTATTATACTCATTAGATCCATATGAAATCCAACAAGAAGTAAGGTTACATTTATACTTCATTAAGAAGTACAAAATCACAAAAGCTTCACCTTTAAAGAATATATCTAGAACATTCACTACAAGATAAACTCTCAAACCCTTCTTATGCAAGGCTCTTTTTCGCATCAATACCCTCCTCAAAGATTCAACACACAAGATCCACTAATTTGCTCATAAGAGAAAGAATCATCTACTCGCAAATCAAGGATGAATTATGAGATATAATGCTTAGTTGGACTAGTTACCAAAGACATCGTCTTCAAGCATTCGTATAGAACTCGAAATAGCACCAAAGATCCAACAATTGTGTACAAAGTCACGCATAATCATAGAAAAGACAAGATCCAATTTGAAAGCGTAGTCTGGTGGGATATATCATCCCTAATCTGGTGGAATCCACGATACCACAATGATCTCCTTTTTTGTTAGGGGAGCAACTCGAACATTTAATATGTCCTACATCTTTTCACTTTAATTGAAGTTTCAGCTCGCAACTCATGATCTCTCATCATACCTAAAACGTTAGATTTGATAGCAAAAACAATGGAAGAAAAAGAACTTTTTGTACCTTCAAACACTACAAGGTTTCATGCTTTCCGAAGTTCTCAAGGTATAAAAGTCGGAAGAGTCATATTGATCAACTTTTTGGCAGTTGAATGATCTAGGAGGAAACAAGAAAATAGAAAAAAAGAATAAAGAAATTAAGATTTATGATTTTTATAATTTTTTGGGGAAGAAAATCACTTCAAATAGGCAGGAGAGATTAAAAAAATGTCGAATAAAGAAATGTTTTATTACTTTTATGATTTTTTGAAACAAAATTTACACACTATGCTTTTTTTTTTAAAAAAAAAGAAAATACGCACACAAATTTATTTTTTTATTTTTATGTTAAAAAAATTATTGAAAAAAGGAAAATAAAGTTATTTTTTTTTAAATAGAGAAAGAAGTAGATGGAAATAAATTATATAAATACAAGAAAAAAAAAGAGATTCTTTCAAAATAAAAAAATTATCTTTAGACCGTCAGTTTCCTAATCGTAATTGAACGAAAATGTAGAAGAAAATAAACATTCAACTTTATGATGGTAGTTAAATTATTTTTCAACTTTATAGAGAAAACGAATACAGATCTCAAAATTATGGTACTTTCTGAATAAATTATTAAATAATAAAAAATGAAAAAACGAAAATTTTGACGTAGGAATTAGAGGGGGAAAAATAGCCATACCACAAATAAAATACCAGACGTGCCACAAAATCTGCAGCCACCAAAAATAGGAAGGAAATACATTGGAAAAGTAATTAGAAAAGAAAAGAAGAAAAACTGCAAAATGTAGAGAATAAAGAAAACAAATAAATAAAAAATCGGTGGCGGATAATGAGCGGAAAGGCTCGCTTTGGAGCTTCCAATTGAGCAGCGAAGCTCAACTGAAAACTGGGCAAATTTTGAATGGCTACCGCTGCAAATTTTTGCCGCCTCAAACTCGTCTCGTTTGCGCCATATCCACCGGTCCACCACCACCACTACTCCGCCTTTAAACAGCGCTCCAACTCCCGGCGATGTTTCACCTGCCAGACCACCACTAACTTTCCCTCCACCAAACAACCAACTGCTTCCAATTCCGACCTCCAACTCGCTGTCCTCGCCGGCAAAGACCGCCTCTTAAAGGTTCATTCCATCATCACTTTTTTTTTCCCCTTGACGTTCTTGTTTTTGTCATTCCAGATGATAACTGAATGATTTCTTTACAGGTGCCGACTTCAAATATACGGAATTTCAGTATAATAGCGCATATTGATCATGGGAAGTCGACGCTGGCGGACAAGTTGCTTCAGATGACTGGTACTGTGGAGAGTCGAGAGATGAAAGAACAGTTTCTGGATAACATGGATTTGGAGAGAGAACGGGGAATTACCATCAAATTGCAGGTGCCTTATCCTTTCGCAATAACTAATTCATTTCGTTTGAGGATTTTTACTTCTAATGTTTTGCAATGAGTTGGATGAGAACTTCTAACTGATTGTGTTTAAGATCATTCTGGAGAGGAATTCAAATTGAACACCCACGAATACATAAATAGTCCTAGCCTCTTGGTTTTCAAACTCCAATCTTGCCGTACAAAAGTAACTAGGCGCAACTCATCACAAATTCGTAAACTGTATTATGGAGACCCTATGCGTACATGATCAATGTTCGAAACTTCATGCAGTTCTGCATTTGTTCTTTAGAAATTAATTATGAAGTTGTAAGGATCCTCAAACTGTAGAAACCGTTTTTAACTATTTACTGGATCCCCAAACGGCAGAAAAAAAGGTGAATACAAACTGCATAGTTGATATATATTGCCTCTGACGTGATTGTTAGTTTTCTTTCCGTGAAGAAATTTTCCATTTGTTATCGTATGATTGCTGTCCTAAATTTTCCCTTCTTGCACAGGCGGCCAGAATGCGTTTCATCCATGAAGGTGAACCACATTGTCTGAATCTTATCGATACTCCCGGTCATGTAGACTTTTCATATGAGGTATGGGCCCGAAATTTTCTCTGAATTATTGATAGTTAAGTGGTTGGAAGAAGAAATATGTTGAGCTACAAATTGTTCCCCCCTGCGCTTTTCTATTACCTCGTTGAATCCTGTAGTTCTTTTGCATTTTCGCCTGATCTTTATGATCCACTAGATAGCAGATTTCGAATGTTTTGACAGGAAATGGACTCATTGATTGTCACCAATTCAGGTTTCTCGATCTCTTGCTGCTTGTGAGGGTGCTCTTCTTGTAGTTGATGCCTCTCAAGTATGTTTTCCATCTTCCCTTGTTCCTATGTCCTCCAAAATGTCTTTTCCTTGAGTACCAGGCAATCCGGTTCATAGGTGTTATGTTATACACTTCACTGAAACTAGTGATTATAGTTAATGACCATTTTCTTACTGGAGTTCAATCATATCTTGCAGGGAGTTGAAGCTCAGACACTAGCAAATGTCTACTTGGCTCTGGAAAACAACCTTGAAATCATCCCAGTGAGTTAGTTGCACATCTACCTTTCTCTTGATTGTATATTTTTAACACTGTCCTTCCTCACACATTAGATTATACTGAATATTTCACAAGTTAAAGATACCTACAACAGTCCTTCATAGGCCACTTGCAGAAGATTCTATGCACGAGCCTCCTTTTTTGACTGGGTGTTTCGTAAACAATGGGACCTTTTTATGATACAGTAGTGTATCAGGCATTTGTAACTTGATAATATTGTTGGTAGAAGTGATAATGTTTGGTAGGAAGTCACACCTAAAGACTTATTAGTTCAGCCTGGTGTTACCAAAGAATTCTTGCGTGCAGTAGAATTTTGGCTTCACTGTGCAAGTGTAGTTGATTAAGCTCTTTCCCAGTGTAAATTGTTTCAACAAGCCAGGGGTGGAGGGGTAATTTCCATCCTCACATCAATAACTATGAATTGGTGGTAGTTTGATAGACTATAACAGTACCTCTTATAATATTAAACATGTGTGCTTTGCCATCAAATTGACATGGATGAAAAGTCAAGCGATGTTGATACAATTATATATTCGGAGGAAAAAGCTTACAAGTACCTTAAAACAATGAATCACTATGGGCTAGAAAGCTCTTAGTTGAATACTAAATTTAGAAAGGAAAGAGTGTGTTTTCCAATTTAATCTTTCTGAAGCTGGACTGCTTGCTTTTGATGCACTTCAGCAACTTTTGTTGGAGGCACAAAAGGATTATTTACATGCTTTAACTTATTGGCAAATATTATTTTTGCGAAATTTAAATTCAAATACGTTGATTGTGATATGGATTTCAGCCTAAAATTCTGGTTTCTAGGATTTTTATAATCAGCGGTTCCTCTGTCTAAATATTGGCTGCTGAAAAATGTGGCACACAAGTTATAAGTATTGCCTTATATTAGAGTCATATATGGGGGGAGTTCTCAGAGAAGAATCAAATTATGTTATCATCTTCTTGATTCTTTGGTTTTTGCATATGAAGAAGGTTTCTCTTGGTGGATTCGGTTGTGATAAGAGGTGTTGTGAAGGGGCATATGGTTACCAGTAAACATAAAGGACAACAAATTATAGAGTCTGAAAGACTTTGCCTAAAGTTTTTAACTATGTTGTACTCCTTCGTGAAAGAAGAATGTCCTTGATTTTGTTTTTGGCTCTTGGAATGATGGTTTCTAGACAACTTAATGAAAATAACTGAACAGATGACCGGTGAAAGTTGCATTATTCTGCAGGTTTTAAACAAGATCGATCTTCCAGGTGCAGAACCAAATCGTGTAGTCAAAGAGATAGAAGAGGTTGGTTTTCTGAGGCAAAAAGTTGGTTAGCTTGTTACAATTAGTGGGTGTTTTTTGCCTTTTCTAGATTGGTTTGATAATCTATACTAACTTGGCTGAATTTTCCCTCCAAGATAAAGCTTTCCATTTTAATATTTCTGGTAATGTGTATAATCACACCAAAGCTCTTGGCTTAATCTGCCTCCACATTATGTAATGGTAGGTCAGGCAAGATTCTATACTTCAACAATTTAGGTGAGATTTGACTTGATGTATACCTGTAAATTTTCCAAAATCTTGCAAGTATTAACTTTGTGGAGTACCAGACCAATTTCTCAGTTGTTGCCAACTTTATACCTGCCATAACTGCACTTGTTATCCCCCTCCCCTAGTTGTTTTTATCAAAAGAAGTTATAAAAGATGGAAGTTGAGAGAAAGAAGAATTCAGAAGAGGTCTTGTTCAGCTCTATCACCTTACCAAGCACACAGAATCAACTGCAGAAATTCGATGGTGAAAACTTAATCTAGATTTTGTCAGTGCGTGCAAATACCGTTGCAGGCTTAATGTAGTGGCCCCAATGGACTTCTAATGTTGTCAGGGACTTAGGCTAAGTTCCCTGGAATTCTGTCTGATCCTTGCTAAGAGATGCAAACCTCCTTTAATTCAGATACAGTTTGACCTCGAAATAAAAGTGTAAAGTTCTGGATTTCTCTTCACTGTCTTTAGCTAATCCGAAGCATCCGAAGTTCTCCGAAGTGGTATTGGAATTATTAATTCTCAACCTGATGTGCAACGTTGGATGTAAACTAATATCAATAATGAAAAATTTTGATAATATTACCGGTAAAAGAATAAACATGTCAAAGTACTGTATTTGGGAGTCACATCTGCATCTTTATGTCAAGAACACAGTTGTATTTGGAAATCTTAATCTTTTGCATTTCCGGTAGCAGGATGATTACTCTCATCTTACTGCTACTCGATATCTTTAAACGTACTTTTATCTTCTCCTGAGGAAATTTCTTGCTCTTTGACTAGTTAACACTTCAATTTATGATAGTATTTGCTGAAGCTATTTTTCTCCAGCTTCAAGAAATATCTTTTACAATCATGAGCTCTTTAGTGATGCTAAAAGGGGGATTGTCTTCTGTAGGTTATCGGTTTGGATTGTAGCAATGCAATTTACTGCTCTGCCAAGGTTCGTTTCTTTTCTATCTTCTGGCATTACAATTTTCATCAGAATGTTAAAGATTTTGAAAGAGTAATGTAGAAACAATATTTTTTACTTTTGGGGAATTTTGTGGTGCATCATTCCACATTTCTTTGGTTGCTTAATTTTTTCTCCTTGCTGGCTTTGAAGGAAGGAATAGGTATTATCGAAATACTAAGTGCAATTGTTCAAAGGATCCCTCCACCTCATGACACTACTGATAGACCTTTGAGGGCTCTTATTTTTGATAGGTACTTCTTTCAATCCCTGTATGTGCTGGTGGTCTTTTTCTCATTGTTTGCTAGATTTTTGGTTGGGTGCAAAAGCTGTGCTCCTATAGCCTGTTGACCAAACTAAATCACTTTTTTTCCACTCCCGGAAAAAAAATAAAAAAGGTTTCTATTCAAAAGTCATCTCATATATTTTTTAGTGTACGAATTCCTTTATTTACTTCTGCATTTTCTTTTCTCAACAACCTAAAAAATTGTTCTTGGAGCCAGAATAGCCAAAGCAATCCTTGCAGCCCAGCAGAGATGATATTGGTTGCCTCAGTCAAAATTTTTTTATTGATAACCCTATCATCCTTATAGTTAGAACCAGGATAGTGATTTTAACATATGACAATCTCTTTGAAATCATAGAGAAGCCTACCTGTTTATTTTGGCAGGACATTAGAAAGCACTTCAAAAAAAAAAAAAAAATGAAAATTGGTCGAATATCCTAACGATGCATGTAGCGTGTGTAGAGTTGGATCACGTGGGTTGCAAACCATCTAGTATAAATTACAAAAAAGGCAAAGAAAATGGTTAAAAGATGAGGCCAAAGTGTGTTAATACACTTGTATAAAAATATAGGAGATGTAGAAAATTGTAGAAATTATAAGGTTAGTACATTAAGGAGTGATTCTGTGAACAAGTTTAATAACAGAAACTATAATGGACAATTATATTGGCTTCATGATGGGATTTCTAATGGAAGATATATGTTTAATGAAAATATTCTCATGTTGAAATGTAAGACTTCAGATGATGCCTTTATTGAGTGGTAATGCGCAGGATAGAGTTTTGTTGAGGTATATGGTGTCTGTTAATAGGGGTAAGAGTAGCTTGCAAAGAGTGTTGTAGTATTTGATGAGAACATGAGAAGTTGCCTAGTCAGAAGCTGGACGAGGAACTAGAATCAAAGGGTTTATGAGTAGTTGAGTTATAAAACTATGTAAAATGCACTGTCATAATCATTGATTTAATAATAAAGCATGTCATTTGGAGCATGAGCTAGTTATAAAGCTTTGAATACAGGGATATGGTATTCAAGAAAATAGCAGAGTGATAAAGATGTTTCTCATAGAACTCAACTAGGTTGGAACAAATGGAAGCACCGCTAAAGTAATTTTACAGCTATATGAAAGCTGATTCTATTTGGATCACCCTATTGGGCTACTGACTAGGAAAATAAACAAAAACCGAGTGTTGAAACAATGAGAAGGCTAAAGATGAATTTGTGGACAGACTAGAATTGATAGGATTGATGATAAATGCAATAGAAAGAAAGTGATGTAGCACTCACGGATGATAAAGTGAGAAACCAGATACCTGTAGGCTTCTCTCATCCCAGTATCATAAAATACATGAAGTCCCTAACTCAAAATAACAAAGAAAAGCAAGGCCCAAAAGGCATTGAAAAGAAACTTCTAAGGAAACACTCTACCAAAATGTAACATGAAATTGTGTATTGAATGATTGATAGAGCATAGTCACAACATGTGATCTTTATAGCCTACTTCACGTAGTGGGACATCAGCTTAGTATTGGTTCAGGTTAGAATCAAAGCTTAGTTTGTTACTGTTGTGTCCTGGTTATAGCATATAATTGTGTGGCTCGTAAGTCTATAATGTATCATCCTTTCTCGAGTAGTCAATGCAAGCAGATTTATCTTGAATTTCAGTAGCATTGCAGATAATATGACAGACAGACTCTGCATGTTTACTGCTGTCTTATTCCATTTTAGCTTCAATGTTTTCCTTTTCCTAATTATTCTCTTCTCTTCTTTTGGTTGTTACTGTAGTTATTATGATGCATACCGCGGTGTTATCGTATATTTCCGGGTCATTGATGGGACCATTAAGAAAGGTGATAGGATTCTTTTCATGGCAAGTGGAAAGGTATGGGTTTCTTTGTATTATGGTTCTTTTCTGTCACTGATTTTCCCCCTATTTTGTTGCAACTTTCGAAGGTGAGCAGTTCGATTCACAGCTTGCGACAATACATCTTAAAGCATTTTGATGGTTGTCTATGATATGCTCATACTTTCTTGAATTCTTTTTGTTCTCTTTGCTTACTTGATTCCTTTTTGACGGGGTGAATATGTAGAAAAACCCTCTTTATTGAATCTTCTGATTTTACTGCACAAACTGCAGGATTATTTTGCTGATGAAGTTGGAGTTTTGTCTCCCAGTCAGTTGCAAGTTGATGAATTACGTGCTGGGGAGGTAAAGATTTTTGCTGTAACTGTTCTTGTTTAAAACATAAATCCAAGGGCCTGTGCGGTCAGCCTCTCACATTCATTTTCCGCTTAAACCCAAAAACCGGGACACTATTCATTTTAAAACTTATTATGTCATGTTCCCAACTCACCTTTTCACTTACTTTTTGCATTTCAAATACAAATTTTAATTTTTTAAATTATAAACCAAAAGAAACGCAAAAACCAAAACGTTTTGATACAGGTTTAGTGTTTGAGATTGATCCTGAAGCTCGTTTCTTATGGCTTTTTCAATTTTAGTGTGGCTGAATTAATGTTTAAATTTAAGTATCTTAGTTAGATCGGTGCAAAAAGTTCTTGGGAGACGGTGCTTTTGTTTTATGACACCTTGAATAATCAATTAGTCTGGTTATGTTTGGACCTTTATTCAAATTGGGTGAATACGTTCCGCTAACCATGAGATGTGCTAAATGAAAGTTTTGTAGTTTTGCCATCACTTGTACAGTAATATAGAGTTTTATGTTCTTGAAATCACCCTCAGATTGGTATTGTGTCTAGCGTATACTGTCCCTCTAAATTTGTATTTCCTAGTGAAGATCTAGTTTAAAGGTTTTTATATACATGCCATCGTTTAATTGGTCAACTAAATGGATGTAAATTATTTTGACCTTCCGGGAGACCAAAGGTTACAAAATCTGATGTGTTGGCTTTAAAATTTTAGTAATCGGGGTTTCTATTACCATTGTGACATGCTAATTTATACTACCGTTATTTGGAGTTCCAAAAAATGCGAATTTCAAGCACATCTTATCTTATCTTTAGATTTACACGACTTAAATGAGTTTGGGGCAGGTTAATAAGGGCTTTCCTCCATGTGCGGGGTTTGGGGAGTTCAGAACAAACTAATTAAAAGAAAACTGCCCGCTCTGGGCAAACGTACACTTTGTTTGTCTTGAGTTGTTAATAAGAGGGATATTCATAAGCTTTTGAAATCACAGGACTATAGTGATCACATTGTTGTGGAAACCTTTTCAGATTGAAAATTACAAACTACAAAGAGCCACATTTAGAAGATTGACTAGAATAGTTTAAATTATCTATGGAAAGTTTTTCTATATTTGACTAACTTAAGGTCATTTAGCTTTAATAAGATATGCTGGTTATTTGGCATGTGTCGAGCTACATGTTGGAAATCTCTACCATGACTTGAGGAAAAAAAAGCCTTTTTCTTACTAGAATTTTTTTGATAGCACGCCCGAAGATCCTATACTGTAATCATTCTTCCCCAGTTGTTTCCTTATTTGTAGTTTGATATTATCTCAAGCTTTAGAATGATATTTTCTTTTTAGCATTTCAGGTTGGATATCTCTCCGCTTCAATAAGATCAGTTGCAGATGCTAGAGTTGGTGATACAATAACCCATTACACTAGAAGGGCACAACAATCACTTCCTGGATACAAGGAGGCTACACCAATGGTGTTTTGTGGCCTATTTCCTGTGGATGCTGATCAGTAATGCTTTTTCTTTCTGTTACCCTTTGTTTCTGAAAATTTTAAAGTGACCTCCATGAACTGTGTTGTGTCTCTGATCCTGATAGGTTTCCTGATCTACGAGATGCACTGGAGAAACTCCAGCTCAATGATGCTGCTTTGAAGGTTAATCTATGTCCTATTGCCAAATGATTCTTAAACATTTTATTATATTAAGGTTTAATCAAATGTGAAAGCTGATAAGGATCTACATATTATAGATGCACAATGATGCTGTTTTACTACAGAAAGTGAAAAAACAGGGTTTTATGAAGTCTCTACGGCCTTTGTTGAAGCCGTGATTTTGTTTGTCCAATACCATAAATAAACTTTTTGGTAGCAGTCCTATGAAAATTGAAAAACCAAATAGAAAATAGATTGTCTCATTGTCTACTTCTGTGGGATGCTACTGAATTTTCTGTCCTTTGTAAATGTTTTTTTTTTTTTAACAGTTATTAACCAGATCAGATACTGTTCATTTTGAGTTATACAAAACGCATAATTTAACCCAGTATCTTCCTCGGTGAAACATTAAGACCGGTTACTAATTTAAACCATAAGTGCTTTTGAAAAATGCATATGTTTCATAATCATTCCTGAATGAAAATATTTACAGTTCGAACCTGAGACTTCCAGTGCTATGGGATTTGGCTTTAGGTGTGGATTTCTGGGACTTCTACATTTGGAAATTGTTCAGGTTGGATACTCTTTTGTTTATGTGTTGTATATTCTTGATAATGATATCATGCTGGGACACTGCCATAGTTTAATTTTTGCATTTATAACCTATTTTACAGGAAAGGCTTGAGCGTGAATACAATTTGACATTAATCACAACAGCTCCAAGTGTTGTGTACCAGGTCAATTGTGTTAATGGTGAAACTGTAATTCTTCTTATCCTATGATCAACCATTGTGCATTATCTATATTTTTTCTCCTTTACATTCCCATCAGAGATGTGATAAAAAAGGATATCAGGTTTCTTGTACGCCTTGGATTTATGAATGACCTATTTAAGAACGGCCTTCACAAACAAGTGCTCCTTGTGAAGAGTAAAAATTTCAAAGTATGTGGTAAATCAATGTCATAGGATCACATTCTTCTGATGAAATTGAATCTTTTAGTGGACACGGCTGGCATGCATTCTTGTTGTACACTTACAGGGATTCCTTTGTTGATGTCGTGTGCGGTCGAACCTATTGCTTTTGCCGCTGTTTGCTTGGTTGAGTATTATGCATTTTCTTTTCTATGTTCTTGCTATCAATAATGGAAAACTGTCTGTTGTTTGTTAAGGAATAGCTAAATCTCCATACTCGTGTGGAAGTAAGGCGTATTATGCCTAAGCATGCATATGGATTTCAACTCCTTACACCACATTATATACAGGGATTTTATTTGGGACATAGTTCCACATCCAAATTACATAAATCAGGAAGCAGTACGTTAAACATGAGAATTTGTTCATTTGGATAACATTCTTAATGGGCTGAGGAAACATTGGAATTCTGCATTCCTGGATTTTGATAAAAGTGAAGTACTTTTTCATTTTAGGGTAGCAAATATTGTATAAATGAAGGATATTGAAGCAGACATATGATAGACATCTTCCCAGGAGAAAACAAAACATATAACTTTACATTTTCAAACAGTTTTTTTGCAGAAGTAAATTTGAGTAGTATATAGACTAGTGTATAGATGCTTTTGGAGCTTGCCAAGGTCGGGAAAGGCTTGATTGCAACGGAGGAGGCAGATAATTAGTGCAATAAATTTTTAAATAAAGGTAGTTTGGGCTATAAAGTAGGATTTCGTACGTAAAGACTTGCTTTGACTCTCAGGGCTGTTGGGTAAATTTCTTGTATAGGCCCAGATTTGTCACTTTATGTAAACAAAAAGCAATAAATAAAAGCCAAAGCTGTGAAAAAAGGTAAGATGCTGTAACTCTTTTTGTAAACAATGTTATTAGACGAACAATTTTCTGTCAGCTACTGGAACTAAATTTTATGTTTGAGGTTCTACTTGGAACTAAATTTTATGTTTGAGGTTCTACTAACTCGGAGCTTTATGTTGTTTACTTTGTTGTTGTTTTCCTTCTATATCGTTTTAACTGTCTATCTGCTTTTAAGATTGGCATCAAAAGCACTGCTAAAATCGAATTGTTATCATTTCATTGTGAGCAGATAAATTTGAATGTTGTTTCCTTTGGTTGCTATTTCTTCTATTTTCTTCAAGGATGTCAATCATTGGATTTATGATTTCTAGAGAACCCAGGGACTAAAAGATGCATTTTTGTGAACCCCATGGCTTGAAAAAGATCCTTTTTGCGGTTGCTTTAGACTTTCTAAGCACGAATTAACACATCAGTAACATCATATAACCAGTATATTCCCAACCAAATTAGGGTCTGGGGGTATTAACACATTTCATGAAAATCTGCGTGGCCTTCCTAGCCACATATGCCTTTAATGTCTTGAAGAGACTTGTAACCTCATTTTACCTGGGCTAATCGAGGTAGGTATTGGTAGTTCGAAATTTGACTTCCATGTGAGGCTGATAATCTTTTCAGTGAATACTGTCAGTTTTGTTGCTCTTAAAGCAGGCCTGTGTTTCACAAGGATAAATGGATGATAAGTTTCTTCTTCATGATCAGTTTTCTTTGGGGATGGCAGATAGTTATTCATTGTATTTAATTTTCTGAATAAGGCCTTACATGTTGTCTCTGTTAACTAGGTAGAGTGCTCAAATCCATCCCTACTGCCTGAACCTGGGAAAAGGCGATCAATTGAAGAGCCATTTGTCAAGGTTTTTGTCACCACTTATCTAAGTTCATTTTAGTGTACAATGATAATGAGGTTTTTTCAATACTTTATATTGTTTGTGTGATTTTCGATATCACAGATAGAAATGCTTACCCCAAAAGATTACATTGGCCAACTCATGGAGCTTGCCCAAGATCGAAGGGGAGTGTTCAAAGAAATGAAGTATATAACTGAAAGCAGAGCATCCCTTCTGTATGAATTACCTTTGGCTGAGGTATCCAAATGCCCGCACCTAATAGATAATTTTAGTTTCCTCCTTTCTAGCATGTGGACATGTAAGTATACTAAAACATGCAGAACAGGATGCAACATTTTAGCGAGGCATGACTGCTACTCGTCCTACTTTTAAATTAGTCACTCATGGGTGGTTGACTAGTTTTATTGACAGTAATCGATCAAAAATTTTCTCCATGTTGTTTAGAGACATATTGATACATTAACCACAAGAATAATATGCCATTTTTCTACAAGAAAAAAAAAAATTAACCAAGGATTATTGTAGTTTAAATATAAACCAAGGGTTCATTAAAGAGTGATAAGTTTGAAGGCAGCTTATCCATCGGTATGGAGGATTACAGCTCCTCTCTATTAATCCTTGTATTTTTGGTACATTTTCATGTTTCATGCTAGTGGCTCTTGTAGTCGTTGGAATTTGAAAACAATATCCACCATCTTCCGATTAATTAAATGGTGTATGCTCTGTTTTCTATCTTTCGTTTGTTGGTTGACTATGAAACATCTTCAAAAAGAGTCATACTTGTTCTTCGTAAGAAAGCTCTTGCTTGGCTTTTTTTATTTATTCTGAATATGAATTTATCATGACCTTTCTTCACAAGACCACCTATTGGATTTTATCATGACCTTTCTTCTCACTTATGTCAAGAACCAGTAGCATGGAAAGGACATAATCCTTGAACCTCCAGCTAGTTGTATGTGGATAAGACAAGCTATTAGGTGTACATAATGTTACTGTTAGAAATATATGAAGGATTTCTTTGAATCTGATGTGTAAACTCTAGGGATATATAGTTGAACTCAGTTGTCAGAATATTTTCAATACACAAGCATTTTAAAATTACATCAGCATCAGTTGAGGATATATGAATAAGAACTCAACAGTGGTCTATGTATCAACTCACGCCACAAACTTTTACAGATGGTTGGAGACTTTTTTGATCAGCTTAAATCGAGGAGTAAGGGTTACGCAAGCATGGAATACTCTTTTCTCGGGTAAAAATCTATTCTTGTAGATTGTTGAAAGTTTCTTGTAATGCAAATAACTTAATTATGTTTGTACTGATTATTACATACTATTATACGGTTTGGCCATGGGGTTATGTGATGTGGTTGCTGCACAGCCTTAACAATATTTTCAGCTCTGTATCTTGCTTGTGTCATCTTTGTTAGAGTGATTGTGGTATTCTCACTTTATCCTACTCTTCCCATTAGATAGGTTTTAGCCTTTAGAGCCGTTGCATTGTGGTTCAGCAGCTTTGCCTTTATATCTTAGTGTGAGATGCTTCAATTGATTAATTCATGCGTCTTTATGGTTTTATATAGCTAATTTTGATTAGTTTCTGGCATTCTGTTATGGCGGACCAGAGCTACACAATTTTAGCCTTTGCGATTGTTTTTCTCAATGAATATCCAAATGGTATACTATATAGCTCCAAATAAAAACCTCCTTTTCACTTCTCAATTTTACTGTTCTGCATTTGGTGCCAGCCATTATATTTGCTTTTCATTTTCAATACATTTTTGTTCTTTTTCTTTTTTTAACAAAAATTAATTTTCCTTTTTCGTTGACAGTTGAGAATAATATACAGGTAAGTCAATATTTCCTTTATAGCAAATTGAACTTGTGTATTGCTTGTGTCAGGTATACAGAGAGTGACTTGATAAAGCTCGACATTTTAATAAATGGTGATTGTGTGGAACCATTAGCCACTATTGTGCACAAAGATAAGGTAAATGTAACCTTTTTATTATCCGTATCGTAACCTTTTGCTTCTCTTAGGAACAAAACTTTCGGTTTTCAATTGTGCTATTTTGAACAATTAATGACTGATGTATTCTCTTGAGACTTTAGAGCTAAACAAGGCATTTTCTTATTTTAGCACTTCTGCTAATCTTTCAAAACTTAAACTTACTATCTGGGTTTAGTCCCCTTTTAACTTACTTTTGTCGAAATGATGACGATTTTTGGCTATAATTTAGATATTGTCTGTAGGGTTAGGTGGTCACAAATTTGAACAGCCATTTCTATGGATCAGTATCAGATTTCATAAACTTCTGTGTTCTTACATGGTAGAACCTTGATTCCATCTTTGTCCTCGGGTCCCAGCTGTTTCCGTCTTTAATTTTTGTTCTGGTATCTAATATCCTTTGTGCTCTGTAAAGATAAGCATGTTCTCCACATACCATCCTTGTAGAATTGGATGACTTTTGCTAGCAAATAATTCCCTGCATTTTTACCAATTTTTTACATGAATCGTTATTTCCTGTTCACTTTTTTAGGATCTCTCCGCTCCCTTTCACCATATATCTTTTCTCCTTCCCACGTAGAATTATCTAATGGGTACTATTTTTCAGTTGTATTGTACTTTCTGATCTAATGGGAGAATTATGGATTCTAACAGTGCATTCTTTTTAAATAGCCTTTAGTTTCCCAGTTCACTTTTCAAAACTTTTCCCTTCAGATGATGGTCTTAAATTGAACAACTACTTTTCTTCCAGGCTTATGCAGTAGGGAGAGCTTTGACTCAGAAACTTAAGGAACTAATTCCTAGACAAATGTTCAAAGTACCTATCCAGGTTAGATCTTATGTCATCTTACTCAGTTGAGTTCTCTTCTTTTTGCAGGATGCAAGATTGAAATGTTGGTTGAATTTAAGAACCCTATATGCATTTCTGTTTCTTCTAGTTAATGAATATCAGTTGGTCATTTTGGTGATTATTCTTGCAGGCATGTATTGGCTCCAAAGTGATAGCTAGTGAATCTTTGTCCGCTATCAGGAAGGATGTTCTAGCTAAATGTTATGGTAAGCAAAATCACTAAAACAAGAGTTGTGTGGAAAAGTAGTGTCCCAGCCTCCCAGGATATTTTGAAGTTCAATGTTTGCTGTATCATTCAACTTTTTTTGGTTTGTACAATAGCTCTATATTTCAAAAAAACCATTTCTACATTGGTAATAAGTTTCTCTAGTTTTGTCACTGGACTCTTGTAGTCATTAGCTTTTCGCCTTTGTAATTGTTATTAAGCAGCTTCATCTTAGGTCCCTTGGTAGTAGCCGCATTAACTCCAATACTGCATGATCCTTATAAAAGGGCCCTTTTTGCCCTTAAATTATCACTTTTACAGTTAGACACGTTTCATGATTTTAACATGAATTCAGTTATTGTATGTAATACTACCAAAAGTTTTTAAGTCTTCAGCAGTCATTATGGTACCTAACATTGGTAAAGAAGTACAGTGCTTGGTTTTCAGGGGGAATGACTGTACACATTGTCTCCTAGTTTGCAGTATCATTGCCTTTCTTCCTACTCATTTTCCTAATCACTAAACTCCTGTATTGACATTTAATTCAATCACACCCAAATGGCGTACAATTTTTTAGAAGGAAAATCCATGATCTTTAGCTCTGCCCTGATGTAATGTCTTGTTGATACTGAATATTCTCTTGAAAGATCTATAATTCAGGATCTTTACTAAATGTGATGTATTCCACTGGTGTACCGTGTGGCTAGATTTTTTCCATTTTAAGCATTTTTAGCTTTAGTTTCCAGCACTCATACTTTTATGATTGAACCATAATCTAAGCTAAATGAAAATTTCTCACCCTTCTATGTAAATGAGTTGAATTCTTCATGATTTTGGTATAAACTCATGAATGACTATCATTGAAGAATGAAGATCTACCAGCAGCCGTAGTCATTGTTCCAGATGTAATAACAAACTATTTTCAGTCATGTACATGTTTTGATCTTTTTTGCTTATGTAGGTGGGGACATTAGCAGGAAAAAGAAGTTGCTCAAGAAACAGGTGCGACTCTTAGTTCCCTGTAATTTAATGCTATCAATTAGGAATCAGTTGCTTTATATTGGAGTATTCATCATGTCATAGTTTGGAAATCTTTTAGATCCTTTGGCTGGAAACCAGCTTATAGTTGCAACTATTACAGTACTAACTTATGACTCACTGAAAAGTTGTGTCTGGACTCTGATAGAAATGACAGCAATCGTTATTTACTGACTTCGGATAGAGAACAATTAGGGTGAACGTGCTTTTAACTGATGAGGCTGTAGTTAGTCATGTTCCTTAGTGCACTGTACTTGCTACTGCTAGTGCGTTTTTTCTTTTTTTGTGGTTGCTTCCCATTTTTCATCCTTAACCATTGTTATGCACATTTCATTTCCATTATACATTAATATTTTGATTAAAGATCATATTTAAAAATTAATAAGAGCAAAGAATCTGCCATCAGCAGCATTGGTCTAAAACTTCTTTCCTTGAGTAAACTTGACCGAGTACAATTTGTAGTAAATTGACTTCTTTTCCTATCGGATGGATCTTGTATTTTTTCAGATGTATCAAAATAGATAAATGACCTTTGACTTACCACGAGTACATGGAATTTCATGAAATATGTAATGAAACGATTCATTTTTTGTTATCTATATTTTGTAATTCACTCAATGCCCTCCATTTCAATGCCCTTGCTTTGAGAAAAAAGAAATTTTCTGTCTGCAAATTAATAACTAATGTATTATCTTGAGACTTTAGAGCCAATTAAGGAATTTTATTATTCTAGCACTTCAGCTAATCATTCAAAATTTAAACTATCTGGTTTAGTCTGCTTTTAACCTACTTTTGTCAGAATGATGACGAGTTTTGGCTATAATTTAGATATTTTCTGAAGGGTGTAGGAGGTCTCCCCATTAAAACTCTCTAGTAACTCTACCTAATTCATTTTTAAGTAATGGTACTCAGGGAGATCATCCACTGAAATGTTTTAAGCAATGATATGGTATGATAAGAAAATCATTAAACTGGAGTATAAAATGATATTTATGACTCATTGATCTATAAGAATTGGCGTGTATTAGTGGATTTGCAGAAAATTGTGTGGACAACTGGTTGGAACATTACGGTGTATATGTTGCTATGATTGTGTGAAGTTAAGGCTTGATCCGATATAGCTATAAATCAGAATTTCCTCCCTATGCTCTTTAGTTGTTTCTGTTGAGAATCAACTCAAGCAGATACAAGATTATACCGATTAATTAGTTTATTTAGTTTATTTGAATAGACTTGCGGTTATGAATTGTAACTTATGTGTTCTCATTAGGTTAATTATTTTACCAAATCAGTAGTGTTGTTCTTAATGTTTCCTCCACCGTTCCCAAATATTTGCAGGCGGAAGGAAAAAAGAGGATGAAGGCTATTGGTAAAGTAGATGTTCCTCAAGAAGCTTTTATGGCTGTTCTGAAACTTGAGAAAGAGGTGTTGTGATTTGTATAATTGTAAGGGAGGAGAATAGGAGATTACTGCAGTCATCCAAGAAAAGTTATAGTTCTAAATGGAGAAACCTGGATCACGTTCAGTGTGGATCAAAATGCTGGATCTAGGACCGGAATAATGCTGGATCAAAATGCTGTATCTAGGACCCAGGTTCCCAGCTCATAGATACAACCTCATCTTTGTTCATAATGTCAGCTTGGTTATATATGTCTCTCAACTAGTAGAAGAAATTTTTACTTAATTAATTAATTAATTCCTGTGAGTAGCATTCAGCTGTTAATTTTACTTGTCAAGCTTCAGCAGAAATGTAAAACTTCCCTTTTCGGATTTGGTTCTAGCTTTATTTTGGTTCTATTATAAAAGACTTTCTTCTAAGTCAGTTTTTTGGAAACAGTATGAAGCTAGCTAGTTAAAAGGAAGTTGCGGAAATAGAGATTGCGCATTATGGATTAAGCTAGCAAATGCAAACAAAATTTTCTCAACTTATTTTCCCTTTAAAACGAACCAAATTTTGGTAAAATTATAGTACTTCATTTTTTATACTCTCTTTGTTTCAAAAAAATAATCTACATTCAGTTTTGAGACTTGTATAAAAACTAGTGTTGAGAATCCGTCGCGCGTTGCGCAACGCATTTTATAAGTAAGTTTTTGTCTTTACTTTTGTTTTTGAGTAAGAATAATAGTAAAATATTCTGTATGAAATGAAGAGAGTAAACTCTAGCAATTACAACTACGTGCTAAGTAAAAAGATGAATTAGATGAATATATATCAAATTAATACGAGTTATAATATTTCTTCAAGCACTAGATTTCTAGTTTTGGTTCTCTCGACAACGTCCTCTAATATCAGCAGCATTAGGGGTACTTTCAGTGATCTGGACGTCTTGACACGAGAGAGAGTAACATATAACTGATCGTGGGAGAATATTATGTCACATAAAAATTAAAAAATTCCAGTCAATCTATTCTTCTCGAAGCTACACTTAAATCATGAACATGAATCAGATCCATGATTTCTCGGATCATGGAAGATATAACGGATTCCAGAATTTAGGTAATACTACTGTGTTACCTATCCTAGATAAGGCCATGAAATTGCTCATCTTAAACCAGAATTTAGTCACCAAAAATACTTAATTATCCATCTTTATGTGAGTTAATTTTATTTAGAATTTCTAAGGACATCATTCACATGTTTCTCTGTTAAACTTGCAGTTGGGTGCTCATGACAAGTTGGGAATGCAAGCTATTCCACTAAGGTTGCTCACAGCTTACGAGAAGAAAGACTTCACTCCTGATTTGCTTAATAGCACAAATCCAAATGATCCCCGTAACCAAAAAAAAAAAAAAAAAAAGAGGACAAATTATTTCCGCTGAAGTTCTTAAGTATGGTGGTTCTAGAAATCTAAGTATGGAAGTCTCCAAAGATGATAACTTGTCTGGCGCTGGTTTTGCTTCCATTTGACCCCAAAAATATGTATTTTTGGTTTAACAAGAGTTGGAGTTTGTTTTGGACTTGGAAAGCATCACGAGATGGCCAAATTTATACAATATTAATCAATTAGTTTTCTTCCTTATCAAAAAGGGTGAAGCACGTGGTTCCCATGTTGAACAAGGCTTTGGAGGAGTTATATTTTTTATCAACTAATACTTCTTTTGTGCGGCCAAACTCCTACCTTTTAGGATTTGATTTGGAAGCATTTTTGGCCTACTTTCTCTCCAAGAAGCTCACGGCCTTCCTCCTATATAAGCAGCCGCGCAAGACATCATCAGGAACACACCTCTCAACATCGATATCATCAACTATCATTTTTATTCCTTTTTCGTCTTTTCTTTCGTGTATTTTTATCATGTTTTTCTAGTGTAACCTAGCCTATCTAGTTTTTGGCCTATTTTTCTTCATAGAAATAGGTAATCGTTCATCGTTTTCTACTTCAGTGAATTCGATTCCTTCTTGTAATAGCGCATTATCAATGCTCTCCATACCTAGTCGGGGCTATCTATCTCTTTTTTTCCATTTTAATGGATTGACGGCCACCACTCTTTAGCTTGTCTCACTTCTTTCTATATCCTTTTCTCTTTATTATTAAACCGAAGTGAACCCTAAATCCTCGATTATAGGTTCGAGGCCGGTTTTAGAACACATCCACAATCGCTTCGTTTTGTATGTTTTAAGAGATTTTCACCCCTTCTTTCTCACGCTTTAGGGTGATTTTTTCGGCACAAACATAATGGCACGCGCAGTAGGACAAGCTTTGGTTTGATTCCTAGATCGTGGTGGTTTTTCCTTCTAAAAATCTCTATTTTTAAAATCTCTCTTTCTTCTCTAAAAAAAAAAAAAAAAATCTTCCTTTCGTTTTTTATTATGGGATCCGATCTTAGTAGCCCTAGGGATCCGATCTATACTTCTTCTCCATATAATAGGTCGCCTAGTGATCCCCAATCTCCATATGCTTATAGTCCATCACCATTTTTTGGGCATATCTCTCAACAGCCCGCAGTTCCACATGTAGGACATAATTCTTTGGGGGCTGAAAATAATATTGGATGGCAGGCTACCCTTGATGGCCGCTTTCCTCAATCTTATGAGATGGCACGAAACAGCAATCTAGTCGCATTGATGGACGGCGTGACGGGTCTATGGTGCAAGATCCCTCAAGATTCGGGGGGCTGCCCGCTGTTGGTAATTCAAATGCTACACATGAATTTTACAATATGCTAATTAGTGAAAGCATGGTGCAATAGATACAGGCGCAGCAACTGCAGGTTTTGTCGCCGGAACAACAGCAAGTTCAGGCGTAGGCGCAGGTTCTGTCGTCGCCACATCAGCAATTGCAGATGCAGGCACTTCAGCAACAACAGGTGTCACCGGTGCAACATCAGCAAGTTTTGTTGCAGGCGCAACCACATCAGGTTATGTCGCTGTAGCATCAGCAAGTTCTGTTGCAGGCACAACCACAACAAGTATTGTCGCAGCAACATCAGCAAATTCAGATGCAGGTGTTGCAACAATTGCAGTTACAGCAGGTAATTGCACAGGTACAGAATCTGCAGGTGGTACAACAAACTCAGCAGACACAAGAAGTAAGTGAAAGTTCAGTTTCAACAGCAGACTAGTTGCAAGAAAATTCTGTGACAGATTTATCGTCGACACCCGGAGGGCTACCTAGTGATTTTGATGCTGAATGTGGCAAGCTTAGGGAAACCCTGCAGGAAGAGTCTGAGTACCCCCAATAAGCATTTGTCGCTGCAAATGAACAGGTGTTGCAGCCATTAAATACAGTTTCGGCGAGTGAATCATTGCCGACTATTGAAACTATAGTTGTTGCTGAGCATGGCGTGCACACTAATTCGATTTGCTTGTCTAATGAACCTGTTATTGGTGAAAACGAGTCTGTCGAAGTTGATTGCAGGAAATCTTGTGAGTCTTCTAGCAGCGACAGTGATATCGAGGAGATTATTTGTGACAGCTACGACAATATTTCACCTGCAACTAATAATTCTGTTTGTCCAAGTGTCGACGAAATTATGGGTGAGCAAGAGCAAGGCCAAGTGGCAACTCCTGATGCCAGTTTATCTGTGACAGCTGAACCGGCACGATGCTTAGTCGCTGATGTTCCAAAAGAAGCAGTAGCAGACCAACAGGTTGCAGTTTCTAATGAAAATCGGCGGTGTAACAGTAGTGCTGAATTGGTTAATGATGCAACAGATTCCATGCCGGTTAAGCAGAAGTCTAATCATGTCTAACTTTATGACAAGAGATGTTCTGCAAACAGAAGAAGCAAGCGGAATAAAGGGACGTCAATACCACATGGTTTTCATTTTGCAGAAAAAGTCGACGATGGTCCTCAATTATGTGGCATTGATTTTTGTGGTGGCAACAGTAATTACGCTTATTTAGATTATGGTGTTGCTGTCGAATGGAGGATTGATTTGGCTAAAGATTGTGAGTTGCTGAAATCATTAATTGGCCGAGAAAAAAAGCGTTCTACAAGAGTTCAGTCGAAGATGCTTACACCTTCCGTTATGCGGTCTAGCAGAATCAAGGCATTTGGGGGCAAGGTGGTCGATGCTAAGTCTAGCAATGTGTTGTCTAAGATTAATAGTGATGTAATCCAATGTCTGGCCGACCAAGAGGAAAAGTATGTTGTTGAAGTGTCGACAATTGATGATAGGGTCAACGGCGATCAAGCAAGTTCTGTTGCAGATGCTAGTAAGTCGTTTCCGATTAATGGAGCACTTGAAAGTAGTAGTGTCATGTCAAACTCTCAGGTTCAGAATGATAGTGGGTGCCAGAATAGTGGTTCTCCTGCACATGAGGGTCAATTCCAGCAAGCTCATAAGGATCGTCGCGGCAATGTTGACTATCATACTTGGCGTCAACGCAGTACAAGAAGTTCTGGTAGAGCAGGTGATTTTTGAAGGAGACGTGCAACATCTGGGCGAAGTAAGCATGAGCCTCGCATTAATCATTATGTTCCTCAATTCGCATGGGTGCCGTGCTACTTTTTTGTTCCAGCAGGTTGGCATTATGTCGATGTTAGTGCCATGCCGAATACTTATTTCTGGTGACATTGTGCTTATCAACGCTCACATCTCATTCCATTTCATTTGAGTGTTCGGGGGGCTTATGTTTGACCCCAAAAATATGTATTTTTGGTTTAACAAGAGTTGGAGTTTGTTTTGGACTTGGAAAGCATCACGAGATGGTCAAATTTATACAATATTAATCAATTAGTTTTCTTCCTTATCAAAAAGGGTGAAGCACGTGGTTCCCATGTTGAACAAGGCTTTGGAGGAGTTATATTTTTTATCAACTAATACTTCTTTTGTGCGGCCAAACTCCTACCTTTTAGGATTTGATTTGGAAGCATTTTTGGCCTACTTTCTCTCTAAGAAGTTCACGGCCTTCCTCCTATATAAGCAGCCGCGCAAGACATCATCAGGAACACACCTCTCAACAATCAACATCGATCATCATCGACTATCATTTTTATTCCTTTTTCATCTTTTCTTTCATGTGTTTTTATCATATTTTTCTAGTGTAGCCTAACCTAACTAGTTTTTGGCCTATTTTTCTTTATAGAAATAGGTAGTCGTTCATCGTTTTCTACTTCAGCGAATTCGATTCCTTCTTCTAATAGCGCATTATCGACGTTCTCCATAACTAGTCGGCGACATCTATCTCTTTTTTCCATTTTAATGGATTGACAGCCACCACTCTTTGGCTTGTCTCACTTCTTTCTATATCTTTTTCTCTTTATGATTAAACCGAAGTAAACCCTAAGTCCTCGATTATAGGTCCGAGGCCGGTTTTAGAACACATCCACAATCGCTTGGTTTTGTATGTTTTAGGAGATTTTCACCCCTTCTTTCTCACGCTTTAGGGTGATTTTTTCGGCACAAACAGCTTATCGGTACAATAATCAATGCAATGGAAGTCGAGGGCAGGAGGCACAGTAATCCTTGTGCTGTAATCATACTCAAAGGAGAAAAGAGAAAAACAAAGGTGACTATTGATTAACTGCTTCGACTTGTATATCCTTTTATCAAAGAGAAATTAACTTTGCACTTTTACTTTACATCCATTCATCTACAATCAATCAGGAAAAAACGAAATCTAACATGGAATGAGGAATTTGAATTTCTGCTGGCCTGGAAGAGGTGCCTCTGAAGGAACAGATTCATGTTGAGATCTTTGAGTAAGCGAAGAGGAAAAAAGAAAAAAGAGCCTCTCTTAATTTATGTCGTTGTTGATGAAACTGCTAATGACTAAGTCATAACAGTTTCTAGTGGAAAATTTAAAATTGGATTGCTCAGAAGTAATCCATTCAGACTGGTAAAGGCCTTGTACTTAAGTCGAATAATTGATAAAAAGGTGAAATTTGAGAAATAAAAAAATTTGGTGTTTGACGAAGGCAAATCCTGATGGCGGCGAGTCATCGGTCAATTAGGATGGGGACCTACAAAACAAGGGTTAGCACTCCGATGCCAAAGTCAGTCTTAGTGAGAGAAATAAAATAAATACACACTTAGAGAGAGAATGAGAAGTGTCAATTAACCCCCTGAAATGAATGTCTAGGAATATATAGTTCACTATTTAGGAAGTATCCAAAAAGAGGGACCCACGTGCGACCCATATGAGACCTATGTGTATTTGGGCCGTTGGGCCTGTTTCCTTAAAAGCCCAATGAGATCTCTAAATGGGCTGTGTTAAGGAATTGCTTCATCAATAGCCCCTGTTGAGCTCAAAAGGGCCATGTGATTTTGGGCTTAACATCATGAAGAGAAGCCCGCATAAATTGGCCCATTTATAGACTAGGGTTTTTACTTTCTTCTCCTTAACTTCCATCAGATGGGAAAATGGATATTTAGAAACCAAGATGAACGACTCAGATTGCCTCAGTTTGTGAACCGTCGTAATGATGGTTTTGTTGAATCGAGGTGACCCTTGACTTCCCAGGAGTACTATATAAGAGGGAGATAGGCTCATTTGCAATCTTTTTGCTTTTGCTTCTGATTTCCTCTCCCCTTCTTAGTTACAAACTCTCCTCCTTCGACGTGTTTTCTGGTGACTTTCTTCCGGCACTTCTTTCGGTCAAGCTCGAAGGTATTTTACTTCACTTTGCTTTTACTTTCGTATTATTCTAATAGTCGACCATGGACAAAGAAGTTGTTAGGGTAGGTGACTTTCCTAGTCGACTGCAAGAGACCGACTTAGAGACGTTAGAGATTAAGTACAGCCTGACCGCGTTCGAGCCTGTTTTACTCGAGGATGATCAGAGGGCGGATACTCTGCCATCGGGGAAGATGACGGTTTATGCCAAATTCCTCGAATATGGTCTTTATTTACCCGTCCTCCCTTTGTGTTATCAAATTCTCAAGGCTTACCGCATGCCTTTAGCTCAGATGACCCCTAACTTCATTACAGTAGTGTTGGCTTTGGTTTTCGTCTGTGGTAAGGTCGGGGCCGTCCCTGACGTATTCTTATTTCGATGTTTCTATAAACTGGTGCGTGGAGTGAAGAACTTCCCGAGTTGGTTCAGTGTGACACGGAACTCCAAAGGTCCAAAGAAAGAATTGGTGTCAAGGAGTGACGCGTCCAAACCTTGGAAGCCAGCTACAAGTCATGGAGGGTCGAATATTTGTACGTGCACTCATCCTACTCTGATCTTTCGTTCTGGAATTATGACCTCGAGCATGAAAAGGTTCTCGACCCATGGTCGAATAGAGGTATGGCCCTCAATTCATCGAATCTAACTGCTTCTTTCTGTATTTTTAGGTAAATTTTTACTGATGGGAAGAAGGTTCGCTTTTGGTAGTACAGACGAGGCCGAGGAGGCGAACCCGTCTAAACAGCCCCAAGAGACATCGTCGTCTTAGCAACCTCCTCTGTAGACGGGGGAAAGAGGGCAGCTCCTTTGGCAAATCCCAAGAAGCAGAAGGGTCCAGGTCCTCAAAATAAGATCTCCTCTATCTTAAACAAGTGTCCGACTTTATCACAAGGAGGAGACGCCGAGAAGAGGATCAAATTCGACCCAAAGGTGGCTATGATTACCACAACAGTAGGCGGCAAGTCGGGCCTGACTCCCGACGAACTATTAAAAGAGACCTACACCGACCAGGGTCTTCTAAAACGCCCTGCCAGGACATCGGACGTGCCTTCTGGGCACGCTTTTGTGAAGTTCAACCCTCCGAGGGTGACCGGTCCAGAGATTCGGGTTCTAGACCATCCTCAGAGAACAGATTGCACGGTGCAAGTAAGTCACTTCTTATTTATACTTCGTATACTCGTATAATTGTTTCTAATCCGGGCCTTTTTTTTTTTTGTCCCTTCAGGCCGTGGCCACCTTTGGTAAACTGGCCAGGAACCTAGATAGCTTGGCGACAGTCAATGAGAATGCCGTAGCCGAGAAGACAGTCAAGCTTGAAAAAGCCAAGGCGGAGGTCGACCAGCTAAAGAAGGAGAAAGCTCACTGGAAGAAGCAGGCTCTCTCCTTGAAGAAGGAGCTAGAAGAACAGTCGCAGGCCCACAAGGAAGCTTTGGCCAAGGCGGAGGAAATGATGTCATCTCAGCTTGAAGAGATGGTGGCATCTAAAGTTGGGGAGTTGATGATACCGAAGTTGGACCTATCTAACTATATCATGGCAGCTCTTTGGGTTTATCTCGACTCGAAAGCATTTGCCAAGGGGTCGACCAGATTATGACCCTGGTGATAGAGATGGGGATGAGACACCATGCCAAGTTGGTCGGAGATGCTCTGCATACCAAAGGAGACATTCATGCCTTGGTAGACAAATATTCGGACGAGATTATGGACGATGCAACTTCCAAGATCCGACTTTGTCGTATGGTAAGGAAGTTCTTCAGGGACACGGATTTGGTGCCGCGAAGTTCTTTAAGGAGATATGCAAGGTGTGTCCGACCATAACTTCTCCCGACGAACTTCTAGAGATGGCTCAGCCACCCTCGTTTTTGTACACGATGTCGAGCGACGTCGAGTCCCCAGTCTCGACTCCCCTTGGTCCAGATGAAGAGGTCGAGTTGATGGCTCGTCAAAGGAGGGAGTCCTTAAAACTGGCCCGCCGTCAGGAGACGCTAGTAGGTCGAACTCAACGGGGATCGCGAACTCGGAATTCAGCACTGAAGACTCCGGCAAGGACAAGGTGAGTAACCAGTAGTTTTAAGGAGTTTGTACTTAGGAGTTCTGGTCGATGCGTAGAGGCATCTTATTTCGTCTAATTCCTTGTACTTTTCCAAAAGTTTTATGAAGGTTTTTCTTTAATTATTCGACCATCCGTGCCCTATCACTTTGTTAATGTAATTATCATTATGTAGGTAGTTTTAACAAGTATAGTCGATGCCGGAGTAAGCCCCGAGAGGTCTCCTGAAAGGGCCCCTTTGACTTCGGGTGGTAGGCTAGACGATAGTAACCCAAGTATAAACTTAACACTTCCCGACCCTAACCCCAACCCCGACTCCTGCCCTTATTACTCTATAATAAGTAGGGCTTTAATCGAGTCTTCCCTTGAAGGGGAAAATCAATTGTCGAATCTGGAAGGTCGTCTTCGGGATGCCATTAGGGCCATCCAAAACTCGGAGTTAGAAGCACTTAGGGCAGCTGTTATCAACCTTAAGAAGGAGGTGGCCAATTTATGTCAAACAAACTTAGACCAGGAGAAGTATTGGGAAGATCACGTTAAGAATTTCGTGAAGATGGATGCGTAAACAAGTCAGACGTTATGGATGGTCGAAGCAAGGCTACGTAAGAAGAAGAGAGGTGAGGGTCTCATAAATCCCGATCCCGAAGATTTTATCCTGCGAAATTACTATAAGAGTGCGTTAACTCATCTTCAAAGGGCGTATGCTCTTGTCGCCGTCAAATGGGATAGGTCGACCGAGAAAGTCACACGTCTTTGAGCGCACGTGGAAAGCTTGAAGTCGTCCCTTCAACACTCTGTTTCCTGGATCATGGAATTGGGAGGCGAATTCGACCCAGAAACTCAGTGGCCAGATGAGTGCGACGTCCTAGAGGGCACACCTCAATCTCCAACTAGGGAAGCCGAGAGGAAAATATATGAAAATGATGCTTTATTTCACGAGTTAGGTCGAACTAGCCAAATTTTTATAAAGTAGGGGAGGCGAGGTTGTAATATTGTTGTATAGAGGTTGGAGATTCGATTAGAATCCGACCCTAATTGTTTGTAAAGTTTGCAATGCAAACCCAAGCCCCCAAGTATTTATGACCAAGTTCGACCTGCTATGTTTTATATCCTATTATTTTAACCACTAGTGTTAGGCAATAATGTGAGACTACCTTATTGTGAGGGACGCATTTTGGACGAGTGTACAGACCTTTTATAAGTTCGAGTCACTTACACTCCTTCCCCCGAGTGTCATGTTGTTGCTGATTTAATACTTGTATTTCATGTGTATGTTCGCAGGATCGGGGTCCACCTTTGGGTTCGGGTATCACCTATGGGTGGAGTCGTCGACCGCCAGCGGGGTTGGACGACCTTAGAAAAATCCATGGCGGAGCCTAAGAGCGAGTCATTGACCGCCAGCAGGGTCGGACAACTCTGAAAATTACCCCGGACTCGTCGATTGGACTTGGTCATTGACCACCAGCAAGTCGGGCGACCTTAGAGAAATCCATAGCAGAGCCTAAGAATGAGTCGTTGACCGCCAGCGGGGTTGGACGACTTTGAAAGATCTCCCGGACTCGCCGTTCGGACTTGGTCATTGACCAACAACGGGGTCAGGCGACCTTAGAAAATCCATGGCAGAGCCTAAGTGTGAGTCATCGACTGCCAGCGGGGTCGGACGACTTTGAAAGAATCCCCGGACTCTCCTGTCAGACCTTGTCGTCGACCGCCAATGGGGTCGGACGACCTTTGAAAAATCCATGGCGGAGCCTAAGGGTGAGTCGTCGGCCGCCAGCGGGGTTGGACGACTTAAAATTGAAGTGTCGAGATTTGGGAAAAGGCGAAGATATTATCACACCATCTTCGGAAGGTCCCCAATTCGAACTGTGTCCCATTGTTAGAGATTAGCACCCTTGGAATTTTGAACCGGCAGACTATGTTCCTACAAAAGAAGTGGGATACGGCCTCCCCTGAAATTGATGCATGCGGCTTGGCCTCGACCCACTTGGAGAAATAGTCGATGGCGACAATGAGGTGGCACAACTTCCCCGGGGACATAGGGAAAGGCCCTAGAATGTCGACATCCAACTCGTAGAAGGGCCACGGACTATCAATGGGAACCATTTCATGCTGGGGAAGTCAAGGTATTGGGGCGTGCTTTTGACATTGGGCGCATTTAAGGACAAGTTCGAAGCAGTCTCTAGCCATGGTCGGCCAATAATACCCTGTTCTGAGAAGTCTTTGAGCCAAGCTTTGGGCTCCCAAGTTGGCTCCACAAGCTCCTTCATGCATGCTCCGGATCAGCAGGTTGGCCTCGTCTGGAGGGAGACATCTGTAGAGGGGGGTCAAATACCCGTGTTTATAAAGAATGTTATCCCTTAGTAAGTAGTTGGGTGCTTTCAGCCTGATCTTTCGAGCTTCACTGGGGTCAGAGGGCAGCACTCCATCTTTTAGGTACCGGACATAAGGCGTCATCCACGTCTCACCTTCTTCATATATGACCACCATGTGATAGCAATCTCGTAGACGAAGCAAATTTCGTTAATGCAACCATCAACAAGAAGGTACGAAGATAATTTTGTCTATCCCGTGAAACTCAAAAGAGTGCGGATAATTCACAGTAAGACGATCGTTTATCTAAGTGATTCTATCTCTTAACTCAAACCAAGCAAAGAACACATTATCCATGAAAGATTTGAATTAAACAACAACCCACGCTAAGAATAGCAAGGACACCATTCAATATACTCGATCAGTCATCTATCAAGAGACTCAAGAAATGTAGGAGCAAACAATGCCCAACTATGAAGGAATACTATTGATTAGTAATCTTCATAACCAACCAAAGATATGCAACACATACACTATCTCAAAATGCTTATGCCAAAGCACAACTCATCCAACAAAAGTAGGACAAACCCCACAATGGATCTCATGAACACACTCATCATGAAATTCGAACACCAAGCCAAAGGAAAGGCTCATCAATCGAACTACTAGAAGTAGTATGAAAATAAGAAGTTTAGTTTTAAAACAATTCTATCAAGAAGTATACTTGAAAAAGAACGGTTTCTGCAAGATCAAAAAGATCCAAGACAAGATGAAAACCCTCTTGGTTTAATCATACTTGACACGAAAAATGGACACTCCATTTAACAAAAATTCCTCACAGGAAAAACTCTCAAAAGAGACAACAAAAATCACCACTCAAGGGTGCTTAAGAAATTCGGCCAAGCCTCGTAAGTTGTTGAAGTAAAATGTCTTGAACGCCCTTCCAAAAGTGGAATATTGGTCTTGCGCCCCGTAAGTTGTAGAAAACTCCAATTTACTCCAAAACTTGTAGAATTCTCTTTATTGACTCCAAAAGATTGGAAAAACACTTGAAACAATTAAGATAGTTTGCAACCTATCCAATTGTGTAGCAATGGACTCAATCTTGAACACTTTGATCAAATAGGCCGTCCATTCAAGAACCTAAATGACTCTTCTCAGTAGCTTGATCAATGATCTTCATGGAGCACACAGAGTCAAACTCTCTTGATACTCTTCAGCACTTATTTCCGTGAGGTCTTCATCTCCTTTGGTTTGAACCCCAAAGTTAATGACATTCTCATCACCTTGATCATAGCTCTCTTGAACCAACTCCCTATCACATAGGTAGTCAAGATCAATCCTTTCTTCCTTGATTGGCCTGCAAAGTAAACTTGGCATTCCAAAACTAGAATGAAGGACTAGCTCATTCCCCTCACTAGGAGAACCTCCATGGAAGGCTACATGATTCTCATCATCCCCTCCTTTTTTAAGAGGATTCGTCCTCGAATCATCAACCTCTATACCTGCACAAGGAACAAACGAGATATAAAGGTTAGTAAAATCCTCACCCTCACCACACTCTGATTTTCTCTCATTGCGTGCTTTTTTTCTGTTTCCACGCTATTTTCATGGTTTTCTCTCGCCTCAAGTCTTACCTTATCGTGACCCTTTTTACTTTCTTGCGTCACTCTCTCGACTTTTTCTCTCCCTTGTGTATAGGTTATCTTACGTCTTTTCTCTCGCACAGATTCAAATTCTTCATAAGCCAAAGGCTTAAGAATGTATTTTCTGTCCTCTTTAGTAAAGACAAAGATATTTTTCGAGCAATGGTGCACAGAATCTACATCTGACTGCCAAGGCCTACCCAGCAAAATATCACAAAGAGACATAGGAATTACATCAAAGTAAATTTCATCCCTATACTCACCAATCTGAAAAGGTACCATGGCCTTTTTAGTAACATCCACAACCATCTCTTCACTCAACCATTGAAGCTTGTATGGTTTAGTATGCGGATCAATCTTAATTCCGTTTGCTATGCAAAATTCCTCACTTACACAATCAGTACTCGACCCACCGTCGATTACCAAATCAACTTCATTGGACCACCCAACCGAACACTTAGTACGGAAGATACAAGTCCGTTGATCTCCATCTTCAGCGCCAAACACCAACCCCTGATCCTCAATTGGACCATTCCAACCACAAGAAGTATCATGCTCTCTTTCCACTTCTAAGGCAGCATAGTATGCCTTATAGAGCCTTGATTGTCTCCTTATCTTTCGGTGTTGTTTGAACCACTTGTCCAAGCCATAGTGAAAACGGTCTGTCAACATGTAGTCGTTCTCATCCACTTCTGAACTCAGAAACAACCCTTCTAATTCCTCAAAGTAAGATTAAATGGATCTACCATTCTACTTACAATTGAGCAACTTCATTTTTGCTTCATCAAAGGTGTTAGTACCAGCATATCTTTCTCGCAAAGCACTTCTCAAATCATGCCAATCATCCAAATTACGATACCAATAATGCGAATAGATATTTGAAACTAGCTTCCACCAATTCAAAGCATTAGAACGAAAACAACCTATAGCTAAGGCTATTTTCTCACTCTCTTTCTCTATGTTAAGCAACACAAACAAATTCTCTATGCTCTTTTCCCAAGTATCATATTCTCTATGACAACCATAAAACAAAGGCAACGACACTTGCAACATTCCAGCATACGAGGGTACTTGTTTAACTTCAATACGATCACATAAGACTCTTAAATTTTCAGCAATTTTCTCAAAACTTACCATAGCTTTATCTTGCTGATTTGAAAGCAATTGAGACAAGTCTCGGTTTGCCTTCTTAACCTCGGCCAAAGCATCATGTAGGAAGTCAATTTGACTCTTCATGAGCTGTACTTGAGCCTCCATGCGACCCTCTACACTCTTTGAAGCGACTTGAGTACAACCAGCAACTCCGGATGACATCTTTGCTCAACAACTCTAAGAAACCACCAACAAAAGAAGTAATGTGCCTTATTTACTACACAAAAACTCCTTGAACCCTAGAACCAAAGTTTGGTTTGGCCGAAACCCCCCCAAGAACCAAAGGAAGGTTCGAATAAAGCTCTCCCCAAAAACAAAAACTCTCTTGTGCTTTTAAGACCACAACTCTCAAAATTTCAGAATTAAAGAGAAGAGTGCTTCTCTTGTTCTTTTCTCTTTTGATCTCGGCAGCAAGAAAGAAGAAGAAGTTTGGAGTAGAGTGATGTGAGAATTT